TTACCCTAACAGCTCTTCAGCACATAATCCTCATATCTAAACTTTCCCATTTATTCTACAAATACAAATACACAAAGACAACTCTAACAAACATCTAAATAACATGAAACATACACATAATTTAACCACCACACATCAACACATACAATCTCAACATTTCTGAAAAAAACACTTTTTCTTCCACATTTCATAAACTCCACATACAAACCTTTGTCCCAAACAAAATCCATCAGCTCTACCAATTTCCAACTCTAAAAGAACTCTGCCCAATGTCTGACACAACAAATTAATCACACATCTCCATGCTCACACTGAAAACATATCACCAATCACTTTAAAACTTTATACTCTTAATTGACTGACCACTGAATGACACCACATACTTTCAACACAATGAAAAACATCAACTCAAGTCCACTTCTGCAAGGACACCACTCACAGCAAGACTACAAACAACACACTAACAAAATGCTACATTCAAACTCACTACTTTTACTAAATTAGCAACCCTACCTTTAACTTTAAAACATTGCACTTCAACTATTTAAACACACACAACTTCATGATTACTACTACTAATAAACTGTTTTTACATCACAAATCACAATTATTCAAATTACACCTCTAACGTTTACACTGACTGTTATTTAATGTTTCTTTTCAAATATTCCTACAAATAATTCATTCATCTACAAGTATTCTTTAAATCTTTTTTCCAACTTCAAATATATGTCTCCATGTGGGGCACAAACTCCTTATGTCCTACACATCTTTGTAACCTCCTACTTAATGCTTTCAATCTCCCTCCACATCAATAAAGTTTCTACTCACACTGTTATTTATTCTTCTTCTATTTATGAAACTACTTTATCCCTAACATTATATTCATTTATACATTTAAATAACCTCACCACACCTTATTTGTTCTGGCCCCTCAACTACTCAACAAACAGCATATCTCAATACTTCAGATTAAAGGAAGGTGAAAACATGTCTCACACTCGACTAGTGTCTCTACTGACGACCCTGTCACTACACCTCTGGGACTCTTTAACTCACTGCAGGAGGCGTGGCCTGACTTCAGGCTCATCATCAAGATCACATACACCTGGAGCTCATTCACCCTCTCACCCTCTCTCAGCCTGCCCAACATTTCAACATTTCTTTCTTTACTTTGTTATCTTACTTCATCACTGATCACCATGAATGTCTAATCATTATTTCTTTCAAACGTAAACTCTTATTTTTGCTCCTGACTCACAGTCCAACACACCACATCATTAACTATTCTTTAACCTTCTTTATTATCAAAACATGATAAACTGTCAATAAACAAACTCTGACATACTATACATTAACCTTTATTTAAATTATTCCTGTGCACAATCTGAAACTATCTATATATATATATATATATATATATACACACTAACAAGGCTAATCCTCATTCTCACACTGAATTAAGCTGTTACCTTACTTTCCTGCCACTCTATAATTTAATAACATCCACATGTTCCTCTATTTCCACTTCAATAAAACACAGATCTCTGGAACTCTCCATTTAAATCCTCTTCTCTGAACTTCCTCCACCAGACTCCTCCTCACAGCAAACCAACATCAACAGGTGTGCTGACTGATCAACCGACTCACCTCCCTGGTGCCTCCTTCTGATTGGTCCAGTAACTACAGACAATAATTATGTTCATTAAAATTCACAAAAACTTTATTTATTTCCAGTAAACAATCCAAAGACACATGGAGCAATATCATGGAATAACAAAATCACAATCACCAAACTACAAACTTCATACATAAAGTACAATAAAGACATGATGAGACACTAACAACACCACACAAATGTAAACAAACCCAGAAATAAATAAATCATAATTAAACAACACCTCTCCTTCCATCCTCCCTCACTCACAATGTAAGACCCTCCTCACTCACTCAGTGTACTACACTCCTCACTCACAGAGATCTATACTCAGGAACACCACACTGTAACACTCAGGATACTATATGTATTTATAAATAATAACATTGTCATTCATGTGCACCACACTGATGTAAGAATTCATTAATCACAACACAGAATGTTCAGAACCACTTTTATATTTCTATTCTTTTTCTAACTTCGATTTTTAACAAATAACAACAAACACTTCAAATGAATCAAACAAAAGCCCACAATTAAAGTAAACACAACACACCTTCAATTCACAGATTCTTACAGGCACCTTTTACCCTCCATACAGCTTCACTATTCTAAAGTCTAACATATTGACAATCATAGCTTTAATAAACACCTTTATTTTCTAAATTAAATACATGAATCCAAACCTGCCACGAACCTTTAAAACATTTTTCATTTTCCATTCTCAAGTGAAATATTACTGAACTAGACAAATCAATAACCTACCAGTCTGTCATACATCTCCATGACTCAATAAAACACCATCCACTCAAATTATACAACAACCACATTTATTTACATGATTTTTTTCTTTTTCTACATACAAATTCACACTCACACACGCATTCATATCATAAACTTTTGTAGTGAATTGTCCTCATTTTCTTATCTGCTCTACATACTCTGTCCTCTTTTCATCTATTTCTATGTTTCTAATGTTTATATATAATTTACAATTACATACATTTTATTTATCACAGTAAATATTCTTACTAAGTTACTTTTACTGTATTTTATTTTAACTTTCTTTAATCTCTTACACTGAGCTTTTCATATAAACCCTCATGTGTTGCTACCTCACCTACACATGTGCTTTATTTTTTATTAATTTTCATTTGCTATTTCACTCTTCTTTACAAAAATGTGCAAATAAACTCAACTCAATACTAAACATTCCCAATTATCTTCATATAAATACATACACCAAACACATTACACACACTACAGTTATTTCTCATGTGTGTGCAGAATGTGTTTGAGGACAAATCCTACCACACCATTCAGCCACACAGCCACACTTCACACCTAAACAGACAATCTTCATCACTCATTTCAACTTCCTCTTTTATCTCACCATCTTCTTTGCTCCAGCAATGTTTCCTGACCTGTTCAAACACAGATAATAAAATCACAAGTCTCCTCAACTTGGGAACAACAATGTAATCAAATCTTCTATTGTGTAAGTCTCACCACTGATGAGTCCTGAAACGTTCCCCCTCTTCCTCCTTCTCCACAGCAGCAGCACATCAGATAACAGCTTCAAGGGTCAGTTAAGTCCAGCTTTGTGTCCAAGGTTCAAAACACAACTTTTAACTTTGACAAATTCTCCATGACTGTTTCAGGAAAACCTGTGTCCTGCTCCCTTCTCATTGACTCCTTAATTATTTCAATCACCTAATTAGTTCACCTGGAGAAAGGAGGTAGATGCCTGTTGGCTCCAAACTCCATCCAATTGACTCAACTGATTTCAATCACACATTCTGTTCTTCATGCTATTTCAGCAGTGTTACATAAAACCCTCACAGAGGACCTCTAGGACCCTCCTCCCTCACAGTGTAGGACCCTCCTCCCTCACAGTATAGTACCCTCCTCCATCACAGTCTAGGACCCTCCTCCCTCACAGTGTAGGACCCTCCTCACTCACAGTCTCAGACCCTCCTCCCTCACAGTATAGGACCCTCCTCCATCACAGTCTAGGACCCTCCTCCCTCACACTGTAGTACCCTCCTCCCTCACAGTGTAGGACCCTCCTCCCTCACAGTCTAGTACCCTCCTCCCTCACAGTGTAGGACCCTCCTCCCTCACAGTCTCAGACCCTCCTCCCTCACACTGTAGTACCCTCCTCCCTCACAGTGTAGGACCCTCCTCACTCACATTGTAGGACCCTCCTCCCTCACAGTCTCAGCCCCTCCTCCCTCACAGTGTAGGACCCTCCTCCCTCACAGGGGTCTCTACTCACATAAACCCCCTGTGAGGACTCCAGCCTGTAATATATTTCTGTATCATATTAAAGTCAACTCGCTTGTTTTGATTAAATACCAGCAGCTCTTGTCCTCTCACTTCTTCTTCTTTGTCTAACATTTCATTCTATTCATGGACATTCTGTAACTCTAGTCAACAACAACAACAACAACAACAACAAATACACCTAGCACAACAAGTGAGAAGCACACTGTTTACTCACCGGCCAATAGGAAGCTCTGAACCAGCCGACTGTCACCCTGACTGACTGAACAAACAGAGACACACAGAGAGAGCTTTTCAGATTTATTCATTTCTATAAATAACATTCATTATACAAAACATAAACAAATGTTTACAACCTTTGTGTTCTTCATCCTCTTCACTTTCAGAGTAGACACTTCAACATTTAACAGTCTCAATAATCAAACCACCACATCACACAGGAAGCTTCACTCCACACATCTTTACACTGTTACATTCAAAAGAGACCCCCCTAACCCAAAGCCCCTCAACACTTAGCCTAAAGACTGCCTCCTATTGGGTAAAACCTGTAAACAGGAAACTGAGCAAGAACTCAGAGTAGCAAAATAAAACCTCCCTGGATCAGTTCATGTAATAAAAGAAGTAAAACATTAAAGTCACTAAATAAAGAAAAACAAACAAATTAAATTAAAATCATTTATTTCTTCACTCCGCTCTCAAACATTAAACACAACAACAAGGGAACATCAAGACGTTCTTTTTTATACACAGATCAAATATGAATCAATAATTTAAATCACAGAAACAATATATTATATTCTGACAAAAACAAAACTCAATATTTGAAATCATCAAAAACAGTTAAAGTGCTCATGTGACTCTCCGTCCTTTCTTTCATAACATACCTCCTCGTCTCCTCTCCTATCTCCCTGCCTCCTCATCTCCTCTCATACCTTCTTGTGTCCTCTCCTGCCTCCTTGTCTCCTGCATCCTGCCTTCTCTCCTACTTCCTTGTCCCTTCTCCTGCCTCCTCATCTCCTCTCCTACCTTCTTGTCTCCTGCATCCTCCATCCTGCCT